TATTTGACATTCAATATCTCGAAAACTGTCCATTTTTGGACCTCCTACTTTACGAGGACTTGTGATCAGGACGTCATGGTCTACATTATAGTAAAATTTCCACCAATTCGACTGGGATTCATTTTCCGTAAGATTTGTGCGGAGTCCCCTGGTTTATATCCAATTCTGCAAACTACGCGCCAAATTTAAGGTTTAGTCTTAAAACGCTATTCTAAGAACTAGAGTAGTATTATCACAAATTACATTGACAAGCAATTAAATAATATTGAATCTCGTAGATATTCATAATCTGATGCTAATAAGTATCGTAAAATCTGTAAATAATTTTACAGACGAAAAATATTACTTCATAATTATTTTTGACGATTCAACAAATTTTCGGATCTGTATGTAGCTAAATTTTTAATTATTTCAGTGAAATCAATCTTTCTGCATTGTTGTGACCTTTATAGTAGCCACTATAACTATGTCTTTTTCTCTGAATGTAACCATCCCGTCCATTTCGATCAAGTTTCGATTGGATTTTACAAGGCAAGCATGATAGACGTTTCGCGAATACTTTTGACAACTGGTGGTACTCCGGACTGACATCCGTTATTCCGGTGAGAGGTGAATTCGCGACGTCTCCAGGCGACGTGGCGAGTTCGTCTTCCAACTTCCAACAAGTCCGAAACCGCTATTCGTTTTCGCCGAACGGTGATTATTCCGCCGCGGAAACTATAAGCGTGCAATTCTCTTCGTGCGGTTCTGTTCGCGGCGATTCCACTCGAGGCGAACTCTAGAACCGCGCCGTCGCCGTTTCTGAAGGACGCGGAACACTCTTTCGCAACTCACGCAAACGTCCTGGCGCCGGGAGTTCGTACCCCGGCACGAAGCACTCTCGAACTGAAAGACATTTAGTTCCCTGCCCCGCGAGATCTTTTCCGCTTATCCTCACAGAGTTGGTACCTTGCGTGTTTCGTGATATTGACGTTAAAGAGCCATTTATAAAGATGTAAAATGCACGTTGCGTTCTCACTTCAGTGCCATTACCGTGCCACGTCAGTTCCATCAATTTGCATCAATTGCAACAATTTGAATAGTCGATTTAATATTATTTATATTACTAATTTTCCCAAATATTATTAGTGAGGATATAAAAATAAGAATCAATCATAAAAAGAACATGAGATATTATGTAAATAATATTTACTAATTGATATCATTTTTTGGCTGATTGCTAAGGAATAAATATCATTATACTAAAAAAATATGGCGAAATTTAAAACTGCGGGTTTAACGTTTCATAAGTGTTTCCCGATTATTTTTTATCTCTTATTTTAAATGTCTCGCAATTTGACTATGAAAGACTCTTCATTTGATTACGCCTTTTCCTTTGATCATTTTCATTTTCCCAATCGGTTGCCGAAAAGGTACGACGGAATCACGGATCGGTCGGCCATCCGGGAGAGGTGAGAGACAGATGGCGGCCGGCGATCTCGCGATGTCGGTGATAAGAAATCGCGATGATCCTCGGTAGAGAGAAGAAAGAAAAGCAGAGGAGAGAGAGAGAGAACGCGGGGGCGTGGGCGCCCAAGGCCTTCTGCTCGCCATTTACGGCCCAGCATAGCCGGACACGGAAGATTCGCGGGGTAAGGGAAAGAACGACGAGAAGCCCGCGATGGGGCGAGGACAACGGGTGGCGCGGGTGCGAGGAAGGAGAACGAGAAAGATCAAAGGAGGCAAGAGAGAGAAATGGATACCATCGCCAGACCATTTTGGTCGCGCTGCAAACTGGAAAGATCACTCGAAACTCAGCGAAACGCGTCCGCTATTGGCGGAGGATGAGTTCCGATCGCTTTGCTCTTATCGTTGATCGCGTGTTTTGTTCGGCAGGTTTGACTCCAACCTTCTGGATGTTTCTCGCAATGGAGTTTCGCGATGGAGTTGGCGCGAAGACACACAAGATTTTCTTTCACGTTACTTTCACGTCACTAATCGGCTCAGTTACGGAACACTTGTTAGAAAAGAGAAATAGATGGAGGCAATATTACCGCATTGGTAATCCTGTGAGATTATCGGTGTTCGAGTTTAACAGTCAGTGGAATAGAACGATTAATTTACGCTGCACATTTAGACTTGCGCACATTAATTATAATTCACGGAATAGTATTGCACCACAATGTAACAAAGCGAATGCTTAATTTATTCGCAACAATATGGTAGTTAGAATGTTTGTAAGAGCGTGTCCCGTGTACACATTAGTTAATAAATCGCTTTCACTTTCTAATTTGAAAATCGAAATTGTACATAGAAAGAATGGTTTTGATAAAGCTAAAAATTTTTAGTTAGATACAGATCTGAAAATAATTTTTGTTGAACAATTACTTAGGAAATGCAAGCATGATGAGCAATACTGAAAATAATTTTGACATTCTCTCTAAATTCTTTAGAGTGAATCTCATCCCAAAAGAGTGAAATCTCTTTTAAAGAATGAAAATCCTATCACTTTTGAAAAGAACAGCAGAATTTTCGCTCTTTTGGAGTGAGATTCACTCCAAAGAATTTAAAATTCTAGCAACCAACTTAAGCGTCTTATATAATTATTTTTATGATCCAAAGATTACATTTAGATCGATATTTAGCTAAGTTTTTAGATATGTCTAAAATTATTCTTTTTGCATGCATTTCTTTCCAACTTACAACTGAGAGTTAACTTGCAACTCTATAAAGAGATTTTCCATTTATACGCCGTGCCTTAATCGATTCTCTCTTGAATGTCAATGGGATATTAATTTTTTGGATCGTCTTTGATAAAGAGTGCGTAACTACTTTTCCTCGAGTTAGTTAATCTACGCGTCACATCGCGTATACTAAAACGCGGCGCGAGGATTAATATACAGTCTAGGCCGCTGGCGATTCTGCGTAACGAAGAGCGTAAATTCTGTCCAACGCGCGCTGTGGACCGACGTATCATCTAGGATATACGCACGATCATCCTTGCATAACGATTATGCGGCGTGACTCGCCTGCAGTTCCCTTTAAAAAGGCGCTCTCGCGAAGACGGACATCAAACATTACGGCACTGTACGTGGATGAGGTGTCGAGTATATCGCGAGCGAGAATAACGCGCGATCGCTAAATCGCTATTTTTTTCCCCCCTTTCCGTCGTAATTTGTCGGCCGCTTTCATATCCCACGAGAAATCCCGTAAAGTGACTTTCACGATACCACCACTATACGTACGATCCGCGACACTTAGCGCGATGTTCCGCGTGTTTCCCGCGTGCATTCGTCACGCCGGTGCACGTAAGCTCGTTCGTCAAATTTCTGTTTGTGCACCACTGCCTTTTTTCCTCACAATGTCGATTTACTTTTACCGCATCACTTGTCACTCTGACGTAAGTTACGTTGTAACTGTGTTACGCTGTCACTTAAAAACCCGAATCGCGCAATGACCCTTCACTTTCACATACGACGTCCTTGGACCAATTAAAGGAAACTCGAAATTTATCTGACTGACAGAGAGAATAATATCGATATTTAACACAGTTTGCATATTGCGAATATTTCTTCTTGCTATTAATGATATAATTACACTGAGACAAATATTTGGATTATATCAACGAGAAATAGAAATAAAAATGCATTCCGATACTAGTGAAAATTTTATACTTGTTGTGACTGAATTTATCTCAACTAGAATGTTTGACAGATTTAACTATGAAATAATCTGATTTGTATCTGTTTGGAAGTTGATTGTATCTGGAAATGAGGTAAAAGTTATAAAAGTGAGTAAATTCACTAGAATATTTATAATTTCATCGATCAATATATCGCGAATTTGCTCACTTTTGTAATTTTTATCTCGTTTTAAGATACTCAATTAACACCCTGATTGAATCTATACCAGATTTTTAATTTATACAACAAAATTTTTTTCCATGTATGTAAATATATTATTAATATAATTGAATAAATTGATATAATTCTCGTTATTTATTAATATATAATAATAATTAATATAATTCTCGCAGAAATAAAATCAATAAAAATTAAAAAAGTATAATCCCAAGTTCTTTATTTTAAAATTTACTAAATCTTTTCAATTTCTATTACAGTGTACCGAATGTGGCAAAAAAAAAATATTTGAAGGTAAAATAACTTGAAATTTTTTTAACAAAGGTAAAAGCAAAAATACACAGAGAAAATATATTAAGTTACCGAAGCGTTTCAAACTTGAGAGCGATGCCGAAAGGAAACACAAACGAAGTGGTTCTTCGGGTTCTAATTTTCGACGAAAAGTCCAACATCGTGCCGAGACTTATCGCCTGGTATCGCCCGCGGCTGGGCAGTTTCGCGATGTCCGGGGCAAACTCTCTTTGGCAGAGGAGGGCAACGGACCGGTTGGTCCTCTCTCGCCGTCGCATTCCCGAATATGGCAACACGCATCCCGAAGTGTTACGGACACGACGCACGTAATACTCGACGCACAACGCGCTGGAATATATTCCAAGTTATTCCGAAATTGTTATCCCGTGTGCGTCTTGTACTCGAACGCGGTTACCGTAAGTCTAAACGTCATCTGCGTTTAATGAAAATAAATTATTTGGCGATCATCTCTTTCCGAGTTTTCACTTACCTGGAATAAATTCTTGATTGTACAGCAATCAATTTTAGACGATTTTAGCAAATTTCCGTTACTGTATTAATATTATTTTTATTTAGACGGAAAACAAATAAAAAGCTAATTGTTGCTTTAGTGAATTGTGCTCAGAAAATAAGTTTTGAATTAATCATAAAAATTTATATCAAATCGTATGTGAATATAAAAAATGACGAAGGTAATTTATTGTTACAAACATTTATAGTATATTAATATACATTTTAATCTAAAATGATGCAATTAATAACAACCTCCTTTCATTCTAATGATAAATATTTTATTAAGCATAATAATGCGATTAATGCTTAACAATTAAAAATAATTATGAAAGAAGTCTAAAAAATGTGGTATAAGAAATAAAATGTCTGCACATAAGTTGGTAAGCCAAATGAAAAGCTTCGTTTCTTCGTTTTCAGAAGAAATCTTCATTTATTGATTATACGAGAATAATCAACGTTATTAAGTTGTTTTTGTGGATGTAATGTACTATTAAAATATTCACTTATAGTGTTTGACATTATTATCGACAAAAATATTATAATCTGTAGATGTCAAAGGAAATTAAATAACATGACAAACTTACAAAAACGTGATAGCATTTTCGGAATCGTTAATCAATATATCACAAAATTAATAACTCTTAAAGTTTCAAGGTAACGCACCTTTATTTTGGACGCTATCTTCATTTAAATAGAACGAAGACAGATACAGCAAAATCGATCGTACCCGATCGGTGGCAGTGTGTCCGTATCAATGGATAAATTCGCGATCGATATTATTACGTAGACGTAGAGTATAATGACTAGACTACATATTTTACGTTCTTGCATTAATGGATTGAGTAGAAGAATCTTTCTTCAAAGACATAAATTCAAACTTTCCATCAAAAGAGATCGTCGTAACGTTGCCCGAAAAAAAATACGGCTATACAATAATCTATAAACGAGAGAAATATTAACTCCCTCCTTTCGTATCTCCCTTACTTAGTATTCATACTTGCGAAACACGGCACGATAAAAGTTAAATAGTTCGAAACAATTTATACGCAGCGTCCACTTAGCATTCCGGACGCTTTTTATTAGTCTAGAACTAATTTACAAAGAAAATATCGGCGCACGGGATTTACTTTGCCCCTCCTGATATCCCTTCGTGTGAAGATAAACGATAGGACTTGCTGTCATCTAAGAACGTAATTTATAAAATCCTCATAATTTTATCTTCCACGTGGAGCTCATTATTTTTCAATTCCACGGTTGCTGATTCAAAATGCATTCTTTAACACGGCAATAAGGAAAAACGATAGGATCAGTTGGAGATCCTCAAGTAAGAAATTGAACACTGTTCTAAATATGGCGGACCAAACATTTACGATAGAATGAAATAGACATTCATGCATTTCATTAGCTGCGTTCAGCAAAAGAGCAACTTTACCATTATTATAAGATTCTTTATTACGATTGATTTTTGTCCCTAGTCTCATCTAAATGTATAAACTAATCATGTTAAAGAATCTTACAACAGTCGCTGCTTTTTCTACTGAAACGCAGCTATTCTATTTTGCATCTCATTGTGTCTTTTAAACACCGTCTTAAATATGGCAGACAATCAAAAAGTGTATAAATAATATCCAATCTCTTACAATAAGGATCTCTCTAAAACAGTTGTCATCTAAAAAATGTAGCTTATGAAAAGCTTAGAATTTTTACGAAAAACTTGTTTCTCGATTCTTATCGTCTCTCAATTGCTGATTCTAAGGGCATTCTTTAAAGGCATTCTTTGTAGCGGACCCAAGATTAGCAAAAACAAGATATCCCGTGCTACATTCGATGTCTGGCTCTTTCGAGATCCTGTCTTTTGGCGACACGGGAGTAAATATAAAGGCACGAAGATCTCTCTGGCTGACGTTACTCTCGATGACCGGTCGGTGCGATATCCGTTCGACGACCCACGCCGCTCCTGAAGTGTCTTTTAACGCGTGTCGCTATCTAGGGACGACGCATCTCCAGTCTCCTGCCAAGTGCAGCAACGTCGGTGTAGTTTTGGTCCTCTCCATCGCTCTCGCACACGCGCTGCCGTGACGTCTCTGTCTTTTCGTTTACGGGCCACCGGTTGAATCCACCCGACTGCGACCGGGGACTGGAACCGGTATGCAATTTCGACGAGTTCAGTTCCCTGTGCTGCAAGACATGCCCAAATGCACCTTTCGCGTTTACGTTTACAAGTAGAGGAGAAAGTGGAAATATGAGATAAAACACACACGGGAACGTAACAAGAAATGTGATCGTCCCTCTGTCGGAATAATATAAAAATTACGGATGCAAGATATCGTCTATACAGTTTGATATTCATATCATACTGGAATGCGCATAAATCTTAAAACGTATAACGAATGTAAAGCTAAACGTTTAATTTCATTACAGTCAAAAGTACACAATTGACATTCCTACTATTCTCTATATAAATATTCTCGTTTGTGCTTGCAGCATCGAGATCGTTGAACTCGCCAAAGCTATGTTAGATTCTTGAGGCTGACTAGCGAAAGCGTGTATCTTTCTTTCTCTTTCCCTCTCTCTCTTTCTCACCAGAAATTGTGATCTCCACGAACGCAACTTCGCGCGACTATCGCTGTCGCATCGCCTCGAGTTCGACGAGCAACAATCGGCGGAAGGGAAAAACGCGTCTCTTTGCGAGACCAGAGCCGCGGATCCTCGAGGAAGATCCATCAGCTAGTCTTCTGAGGCTCCGACTGCGATCGCACGTCCCATGTCGTCCCCGGACGCGACGACGACGACCGCGCGATGCAGATGAGCGAGGGCAGGACTGCGGCAGCGGCGAATCGAACGTACCGTCCCTCCGAGGCAACCTGCAACAATAATCATCCGACTCATGGTGCGCATGAAGCGATTGCGTAGATTGCATCGGACACGGTCAATTGATCTATGGACATCGCGCCGGGACACGCGTCTCTAGGCTGCTTAGTTATGGCAGGTGAAATCGTAAGCGCGCACGTGCCTGACGCGCATCGTTTTCTTTCGAGGCGATCGCATAGAGTAGATATATCCTTCGAGATATTTGCCGTTACGTTGCTAAACAATATTGATGGTGCACTCTTCTTTTAAAGTGAAATGTTTCGAAATAGAAATATCAATGGTATTTTGGAAAACAGTACGAATTATATTTTTTATTAGAATGCCTTTAGAATTGTTTTATAAATTTGGAATTATTCCATAAATTGAAATAAAAATTTGCAAACTAAATGGGTATACGGAAAAAATTATATTATATTAACAAGATGACTAACAACAGCCATCTCACAAAATTTTTCAGAATGTGTAATTTTATAACTTTTAAAAAAATTATATAATATATATGAGAAAGATTTTCCTTATTTTTTTGAATATAAAAAAATCTGTGTAATACTTTCTGTTATAATTCTTATAAACGAAGTTAAGTGTAAAAAAAAATTCTAATTTGCGACGCCACAGCTGTATATATTTTTTTTTACATAAATCTTTATAAATATAAATATTATGACTAACATTTTATATCAGTAACAACTATAAAAACGTAATACTAACCATATTTTACCATGCAACGATAGTCACAAATTCTAAATTACTTTTCTCTCAGTGAAAGATACACTTTATTTCCTAACTCTGAAAAAAATCATGTATTTATCTTTATAAAATACTGATAAGAACGTGCATTTGTACTTGTGCTTTCTGTACGAAGCATAAACATTTTTACGAGTACAACATCGATCACGCTGTAATATCACGATTCAGATAATATACAAATGCTATCCAGCGCGTACAAGTATATCACGTAGGCGATCAGCGGATGTACGCCGACGATCCCTTAAGAATTCAATACGTTTCTGAATGCCAGTGTCATAAAGAGCAAAGTTATTCAACGGACACCTACGCGAGCACGAACGAGAACAAGGGGAGACGCTCACCTCGATCAGGCTTCTTGAAGCTCGCCCTTCACTCCCGGTACGCCGTGGTGATGCCTCGAGGCGAGCTTGTTCGCCAATTCGTGCATCACGTCTCTGTATATCACGGTGTCCAAATTCTCGCCCAGCATGTAGAGAAGAAACCAATCACCGACCTTACTGCGACGCACTATGGTCTCTACGGCGTCCCTTCGTACCAAACGAAACCTCATTCGCAACAGGTAAACCCTCGTGCGTGGCGAAAATATTATTAGGATCTGCAGGGGAAATAGCAAATTATGTTGCGAGAAAAAAATTAGTAAATAAGAATAAATGACATTAAATAATATGTGACTAAGGCAACTAAAATGTTTAATAATATTTCAGTTTGAATTTATATATACATATCTAGTAACATGTTTTGTAAACTGCCGATTTAATTTTTGATCTCGAAACGTAATTTTAAACTGGAACTAGAATAATATCTCAAATGAAATCGACAAGCGATTTAATTATATTGATGCTAAACATTTTAGAAACTATAAAGAATTTATTGCTTAAAAAGAGCTATCTTATTATGTTGACTACTATTGATTTCAATTTTATACTTGCAAAATAAATGAAAACGCGAATATTATTTTATTATAAACATTTGCACTTAAATTGGGAAATTTAAATAAAAAATATCGATTGAGGTAGAAAAATTGTATTGTTTCTATATCGCGGATATTATTTATGAAATACAAAGAGTACTTTTTCTGGGATTACTGACCCTATATAAAACCGTAAAGAAACTGAGCACGCCGAGGAAAAGGAACCAGAACCACAGAAAGACATAGATCTTCTCGTTCACGACATTCAGAGGCAGTATACAGACGGCGTCATGTCTCTCGACTTCTCCGCTGACGCCGTACTTGTAAAAGGTGCATTTGGTCATTCGTGGAAAGACATAAATCATTGGGTCCACTCGGTCTTCTTGATCGGATTCGAGGAATCTAAGTACGTCGATGCCAAAGGTCAAGAAGGCGCCGTCGAAGAAACGATTCATCAGAAACATCTGACCTGCGACAATGTGCTCGTTGCTTTACAATTCTTCGTCATTTCTATTTGTCTTTCTCTCAAAACAATTTCAACAGTTGCTTATGATATATGCAGGGTGTTTCGGAAATTGTAATACAACCGAGAAAGAGGTGATTTTACATGAAAAAATAAGTCGAAATCATAAAATAACATTTTTTTTAAACGAGGCTTTTGAAAAAATTGACTTTAAATCGAATACTATGTCTACTACTATTTTTGATTATTTTGTGTTGATTGTATTAGGTAATCGAGAATATGCAATAAAACAGGATATTCATGCACGATAAATTTTATTACTTTATAAATTATTGAAAATATCCGAAAATAAAGCCTCATTTGAAAAAATTTATTTTACATTTTCAGCTTATTTTTTATGTAGAATTATTTCAGTTGTACTACATTTTCCGGAATATTCTGTCTATAATGACTATAATAATTAATTAAAAGCACAATTAATCTCTATTGCTTTTTAAATATTTCTGTAACATTATTTTTTTTAAATTATAAAAAATTATTTTAACATTATTAAACACATATTACATCTTACAACAAATAAATTTATACCAATCTCAGTCCTGAGAATAATATTTGTAATGTTTTAGAACAATTTTGTATCCGAATGAAATATTGAGAATAATAACTTCATGTTTAATCAAACAATTATACGATACATATATTTTTATAGCTTTCGTAGTTGATTGATTCATGTACCTACGTGCGAAAGATTATATTCCCACATACGTTTATAATGATAGTCATATCACACTGTAATTTGAATGCAATAGACATAAAAGATAAAATTGACGAGCTATCTCAAAGTAAAATCGGGGAGTTTGCAAGCGGTTGGCCAGCTGTATCGCTGCCAACTTTTACCGTGAATCATTCATTCATTCACCGCTCATTATACAGCCTTCCTTTTTCTTACACGCATATATGTTTGTAAAATTAACGCGAGCTAGTCTCTAGATAGTTTGTTGAATTCCATCGTCTCTGACATGACCTTTCTGTGAAAACGATTACATTATTGCAACGCATCTTGAAAATTTGTAACATACACCAAAAAAAAATTACTAAATCTTAATACATATTTTTTCGGACGGTTTTAAGTAAACATTTACTTATAGTATAATAAATATTTACTCAATAAAAAAATGATAACTATAATAAATCAAATTAATGATTTTTGTATTAAATAAATATAGATTTAATAAACATACATTAATAAATATTTGCTTAGAACTATTTAAACAAATATTTATTAAAATTTAGTTTTTTTTCGGTGTTGAAATACTTTGCGTACTCCATAAAAATTTAATTTTTATATTGTATTTAAATAGATCCATATAATTGCTTGCGCGAATTTCGAGATTTAAGTACAAAGAAATCATTGACATAAATATGAATATTTTTTAATGCTTTAACAGTTTATATAGTTTAAATGACAATAATTAAGGACAATTCGGCAAGTATTTTATTTCTTCTCGCGGTATCTTTATCTACTTCTTCTTGACGAAAGATGGAACTAGATAGAAATGTATAGAATATATATTTTACAAGTAAAATACCTATGTAAACCTCTGTGGTTATTGATGCATAAATTATGTATTCATAATATGATAAGATACAATTCGTAACTAACTAGGATGTACTTACTTACTAAACGAAGTTAAGGTAAATGCAAACGTTTCAACTCTAGATTTGAGTCCTCTTCAGCGCGGAAGTTAAGTACAAACAGTTTGTACGGCGATAACAAATTAAATATTTGTTGAATTGTTCTCAGTTATTAATATTCAAACTATATTACACAAACTTTCTAAGCATCAAGGAATATTCATGTTTATGTCAATCTTGGTTTTTTATGTACTTAAATCTCAAAATTCGTGCAAGCCGTTATATATGTGTAAATGTTTCAACGGGACGCAAAAATAATATTTTTCAAATCAAGACTTGAAACGTTTGTATTATTTTAACTTTGTTTGTAAATATATCTCAATTAGAATACGTAATTTACGCATCAACAATCACGAGAAAACTCACATAGGTATTTTACTTGTATTGAATTTATTCTTGGAGTCACATATATTATTTATTTTATTTTATTTTAATATATTTTTTAAACATAGTGTTCAACATAAAGTAACAGCGAAAAGCTCTCTCTCTCTCTCTCTCTCTCTCTCTCTCTCTCTCTCTCTCTCTCTGTCGATTGTTTTTTTAAAATTCTACTTCTTAATCTCAGTTATGCAAACGTATGCATCTTCAACAGCGAAAGGGAAACGTTTTAAATATCATTCTCAAGCGCATAACTGGTTTATGTTTATCGATCGTAAACGGAAGATACGCGATGACGTTCACCTAACGGGTCTGCGAATTCCGATTTGTCCGTATTACGACATCGCGATGAGGACGTGCGTTGATCGAGAAGCTCAAACATTGACGAAGGACTTCGGCGCGGAGCGAAAAAAAGAGAAGTGTGGGCTACTCACCGATCACATTTAGGAGCGCGAGGACCTCGCATAGGTAGTACCTGTAAGCCCACCAATTGTGAAAGCGAAGGTTCTCCCAGAGGTAGTCGAGCAGCATTTTCTTCTTTTGCTTTTTCTCCACCTCGGAGCAGAGCCCGATGTCGAGATCCATCATAAGGGCATGAATCTTGCCACCCTCCCAGCCCTTCCAGAGCCAGCGCGGGGTATAGAAGAAGATCGCCTGCGAGCAAAGTGCCGAGTGAATAAATACCGACGAATCAGCCAATCGCTGATATATTACAAGGGGTATCGTGGGAGGCGGACCTACTTATGTACACACTAGCACATAGTTACGGTAACACGCAAAAAGAGTTATCATTATTATACCTTGCCCGATAACTGTTGATTAAAACAATACACGGAACATACACGAACGAAAATCTATTTTACGAACTTTTAAAAACTGCTAACCGCACCTTCTTTCAAGAGGCGGAAAGTATCTCGCGAGCTTAATTATTTCATATCGTCGCTGTTTATCACGCTTAGGTATCGATGTTCTACGAATTAAGTTGCATATTGGCTATTACTCATAATGTAACTGCACTGTAATTATAATTAACGACAAAATTTAATCTGCGGTTAATTAACCTTTAGTGAGGGGGAGTATATTTTTTAAATGTTACAATTTTCCTCGAGTAAGATTTCTTATACATTACTGCCTCAAAATATGACAGTTTCAGCGTTATTATAGTAGCTATCCTATAAAAGTTAAAACTTTCTAGTTTGTTATTTCACTGGAATTTTTTTAACAGTTTGACATCGCTCTTATTTCCTTAATTTAGTATATAAATTATATTAATTAATAATTACCATTTAATGGTAACATTTAACACAAATTATACAACATATGCGGACTATTCGAAAATTCAAATCGAATCCATTATCAAGTCTTATCTCGCAATCTATCGTAATGTTTTATTAACTTCCTATAATATTTTTATATTCAATAGTATCTTAGAATACTAAAATAGAATAGATAGTATCTTAGAGAGATGAATGGTAGAGGTGTAAGTATAGTTAGGCTCGGAGCGATAATCTAAGCTAATTGAATCGAGGCAACCTTATCTCACATTAGAATTTCCGAAGCGATGTCAATGCACTTATCGAGACCACGATGTGGGAGTAAACCCTTTCTCACGGTATATAAAGCTTTCTGGCTTATCGCCAGGAGCCTCGGGTCGTGCTTGCCGTAGTACACGATCGAATATAGATACGTACGCTCGTCGCGCGTTACCCTCTTACGACGTCTTGGCGAGTGTTCAGAAAATTTGAGCTAAATTGCAATTTGCGAAAGGCTCGGATGATTGTTAATGAAAGTACGTGCTTAAGACGTGCGTCGGGACTTAATGGGTTTCCCAAAACGTATGCTTTTATCCAACGAGTCACATTGTTTCTAAGAAACGTAGAAACGACTTATTATTTTGGCTTGGAGACAAATACGCAAGATGACGGTAAAATCTTAATGCGGAGAACATGTAATAATAATCCTGTAATACACAGATATTGCGCAAATTTCATGAATTCTGTATCAAATCTGGTAAAGGTACAATTCAGTAAAATCTTTTCTGTGAGAAATAAACATTTTTTAAAACTCTTAAAACGCTAAGCTTTTAAATAAGTACTTTAATAATTTATGTGTAAGTATCTATACTATATAAACTGGAAAAGTAACTAAAATTACTTTTAAAGTAATTTTAAAAGTAATTTTAGTTTAAAAGTAATTTTATTTACGGCTAAGCAACTAAAATTGGCAGTAAATTAAATTTTTTACTTGTAAACATTCATTTAAAAAAATTATATAGACGGTGTGAAAATGTGATGAATGTTATGTAACTCGTTTAATAGTCTTAGCGTGCATGGTTTACATATCTGCGACAGGATTCTTCAAAATGGGTGGTCTGACCTCGCTCTTGACAAGAATTATGAAGAAACGTAAAATAAACGCGCATGTCAGACCGATTGTACGATTTGCAGCTTTTAGCATTATCGCGAGAGAACGCCTGCGTTGTAAAGAGAAAAGGAAAATGCGTGACCGAAAATAGATCTGTGTCCCACTCTTCTTCTCTCTTCCCTTGCCAACCAGGATCGAGAGCGTGATCATATTTGCTGCCCTGCTGAAAGGACATTTATATCTCTCTTTCAATGTTCAAACTTGTAGACGAGCATAAATTCCTTTAGATATGCAAATAGGTTTAAACATATCGATGATTACACATCTGCTGTTTGCTCTTTAGATAACAAAACGAAATAAAATAAAGTAACATAATTAATTTTACACTCCGCAGATCTTTAATAAATTGTACAATACCTATATTATATATCATAAAAACAAGTAAATTAAATTGGAACATAAAGGCGTATTTTATAAGATACATTCTTTGTTTTTTAACTTGGAACTGGTGTTGCAGAGGGTGAAACGGTTGTTATAAAGATATCTTTCAAAGCACCGTCTTATACAATGGAAGTCTAATAACTGTAATTCAGAATTAAACGTGTAATAACGTAAAATTAGATAAATTTATGAAATAGATTGTAATCTAATCAATTTTATATAATCAGTTTCGTAACTGATGGTAAAACTGAAGAGAGAGTGATTTTATTGTACATGAAAAAATAAGTCGAAAATATACAATGAAATTTTTCATACGAGGCTTTGTTTCCGAAAAAATTGATCTTAAATATTCACTGAAAATAGACTTTAAATATTCGTCGGGTATGAAAAGAAGGAACCGCGTACATGTTTTGCCACGATCCCCGGCCGATGCGTAGCATCTATGTGTCACGTTAGCCCCGAATAAATTTAGCTAAACAAGGCGAAAGAGCTTTGAAGCTTTAAGAAAAGCGAGACGAAGAAGGAAGAAGAGCGGACAAAGAAGTGTACTTTTAACACGTGCAAAAATAAACGTAATGTGTGTGTAAAATGTAGTTAATTTTGAAGCGGTTAAATAGAAATATTTTTATTTACGTATATATATATATATATATATATATAAATACAAAAAATATATAAAATGTTAGAAAAAATTATTTTATTAAATAACTTAGTAAAATTACGTTTTTATTAAAATCCATTATATCACATATTGTTTATTTGGTTATTATAAAAAATGATTTACTTGTGAAAAAAGAATTATAAAAAATTTTCTCCTTTCTCTTTACAAACAATAGTTTTCAAAAACATGTTTTTTATGTTAAATTTTCAATTTTATTAAACATTAATCATATTAGCGATGCGTTTTGTCAATTTATTAGCTATACGCGACGTTATACATGTTTCATGTCAAACGTTGTCTAGAAAACACATTAGATACGCAGCAATCAATTTCAAAATAAAAGGCGGATGCGCGATTAATCAAAGAGCGAGAGAGTTGTAGGAACATTGGACGTATAAATAGAGGATAGTAACTTGAGAAAAAGAACGATATTGTACGTGCGCGAAGACGAGTAATGCTTGAAGTATGGGAGGCGGAGGTACGATCAAAGATAGCATCGAAGGTACATATGCATTTTAAAGGCAGAACTATCTGTAACCTGTATTTATGTATTGACGTTATGAACAAGGATTATCAATCACGGATAAACGAATACACATGCGTTTGCGATCGTATATTGTATCGATACTGATTCAGGACCTGCAATTTCTGAACTGTCTTAATTTAGATATGAACATTTGATCGCCTTCGTATGTTTCATTAATTATAAATAACTTTTTGTGCTTTTTCACATAAAATTAAAGATCAGAGGTTGCAATTGATATAAAAAATACCGTAGCTCGTAACAAGAGTAATATTTCACACATAAAGATAAATGAAAAATAATATTTATTATGAAAATTCCCAATATTCTTTAATTCAATCATTAATATATTTACTGTACAGATGAGTACAATTATAAAACAAAATATATTAATTATAAATAAAATGTAATAAAGGTATAGATAATATAAAAATAAAATAATGAAGAAAGAGAGATAAAGAAATATACACGAAAAAAAAAAAGAAATAAAAGATCGATAGAGAAATGCAAAAAAGAGATCGTCGCTTCTTACTTGCAGTAGCAAGAAGAAGATAACCCACTGATAGTATTTGTGCTGCTTGACCAACGGGTGAGGTGCGTGGCCGTGCCCCCCTTCGCCCTTGGTATTCGACACCCCAGGGTAAGGTACGACCTGACCGATGCTCATGTTGAATGCCCGCACCATACTGTACGTGGTGTGAAGCCAGCAGAAGGTCTCCAGCACGGCCTTGTCCACGGCCGCGGTGGCTTCGCAGTGTATCGGCGAGCCGGAGATACTTTTGCAAGCGAGGGTGAGGCAACTGGCTAGCAGCACTGCCACCGTCGCACGATAATGCAATCGAAATATCATCGAGTCTTCGGCGATCCTGTGCACCTTGAAAAGCGATCGAATCGAGCCGAACAGATCGATCATTTTGAGCATTAGCGGCATGTTAAATAGACGGAGATCGAGGAGTGACTTTGCTCGAATCGCCCGACAATCTCTTTCGCGATGCCACCACGTCCTTCGTTCTCTTCGTCGCTTTTTTTGTTCCACCAGCGAACTGACTATTTTTACACTTACAATTAGTCCTGCTGGAAATCCTTTGAACGAACTGCACGACGAGCACGAAATTATATCACTTTCAGTATTTTCTTTTGAAGGTATTTAAATACTTCAAGATAGCAATATCGAGTGAAAGTATAATTTTTACATGGATTTATCACTTTCTTGTTGTTGATTTTAATTTATTTGTCGGATTCGAACTTCCATTTCACTATGAAAGAAGTAAAAAAGATTGCGATTATTGCTTTAATTGAAATGTCAAAAAATAAATAACGAATAATCCTTAGAAGAATACAATTATAATCGTAAAAATGGACCACCCACGATCTCTTCGTACCCTTTATAGTCTTGAGATTGGACCTAAGATGGAGTGTACACCGTATGCATTTTGTGGATATATAAACCGTCGTAAAAGTTACATCGTACTACTGTTTGCTTTTCTAACTTCCCTTTAATTTGCTTTTCTCCCTTCGTTTATTCTTGTCACTTCACTCCCCTCTTATCTTTTTGTCTTCCAATTTTGAATACAATGATAAACTCTCTTCGAATTTTAATGCTGACTCTCCCTCGTTTGCGGAACATGTTGATTTCTTCCCTTCTTCGCAAATTATGTCAATGAAAAAAATTGACACAATTATCTCTGCTACATTTTTATTTATGTAACTTCTATTTTTTAAAATGCCTTCCATGTAAGGAATTGCAAAGTTGTGTTGCTTTACTAACACAAAATCACAATACACGGGCGAACACTATTTATTCATTCATTTGAATTAACAATTTTTAATAGAAGACTGTTCCTCGTACATTCTGCTATTCGTACACTTTTTTCCCCCATCTTCCACTGTCGTAGTTAACACGTTAATGCACAATCCTATCCACTTTGTTTTGTGAATTTAAATCAATTCGAGACAGTTTTGACGGGACACACACAGAACAATCGCGAAGGAAAAATTGAAGACGATAAATAAAGTTAGAAAAGAAACACGCACGTGAGTCTCAAGTACAAGCCGTCAGAAGACTGACCGGACTTGAGAGGCATCCCTTGACCTCGATACTAAAGACACTGATATTATCTTGCAAACGTCTGGGTTAACATATGATCAATCAAAGGCTGATCGATGAAACTGTATTATCCGTAATCTCTGATATAGTGTTACACACTGTTTCATATAATATACATATAAATAGTTTCACCGAAAAACACAATAGATGACTTTTGTCATTTTGTTGTAAAATTCGAAACGAGCCAATGAGGTCTAATATTATAACAAGGTTCTATGTATCCAAGGTTATATGTATCCGAAATCACCTATGACAGAATTATGAATATTAATGGAGCTCAGTAACGCGTCATCGGTATATATTATGCCGATGACGTCAAAATTAAGACGGAAGAAAATTTTGATGTACTGCATAGGTACATTGATTGACATTGTAAACGTTTATAATAGAAGATGGATATTTGAAGAAAATTTTACGTGCGTATTATTGAATTCTCGCACGTAAAATTTTCTTCAAATATCCATCTTCTATTATCTTGCCTAATTTAGGCGAGAAATCTATTTTTGTCTAAAACTAAGAAAGAAATATTCAAGTAAAATAATTAATGGCTGCGAGATACGATTTGTTTCTTATAATCCTTTATATTTTTATACTCGTTAGGTTATATGACACGACGATTATATTATTGTTAGTAGGATTCCTGTAAGCGGGAAGTATTGTACAAGGTGGTTCGATCTCCATCATGGAAAACATGCTTAATCGACCGTGTTACGAGTGCGGCGCGCACATATTCCGAGCAACGAAATTAAGCGCACCATTACCACGCGTAAAAGAACATTCCGACGGACCAAAATGAACACTTATAAAGCTGTATTTATCGCCACCTCCTTACCTCCTTCCTCCACTGGAAAAAAAAAGGAGGCGATAAAAAGACGATGAAGTCAAGATAAGATAACCGTGCTCTGATTAAGAGCCGGGATTAATCTGTCGATGGGGTGCTCGTTAAACCACCCTTTTCATCGGCTCTTTCAGTCACTAGATTTCAAATAATCTTGCAGTCATTAACGATTATCCAACCGGGGAAAAACTGAAAAGAGAACGTTAATTCTTCTGGTATTTCCAATAAGAAAAATATACTCATTTCTTTGTGTAATTTATATCTCTGATATTTTTAATATTTTTGAATATAATTTACAATTTAAAAGAATCTTTCTTAATGAATAGAAGTCAGTTAATCTCGAAATATTAAAATAATATGATTTACATATTTACGTGATTAAATCACAAAGGGCGAATGAAATACACGAACAGAGGAGGGAAAGAATTCATTGTTCAACAAACGACGAAATTAGCTCAACGATAATTATAGAAATGCGTGAGGAGATTCATATATCTCTTTCAGCGAAAGGGAATAGATCAGTAAAAAAAAAAGCGGCGACTACTCGCTGTAAACTGTATAGTTTGAAACGCCTGGCGAAAAAACACGGTGAAGGGAGACGAGGAAATAGAAAGAGAACTTTCGTAGAGGGATAGGCTGTCGTCGACTGAGTTTATTTTGAGACATCAATGCGAGTAGCATGAAAGAAACGCGCGAGAGCACAAGGAAAATACTACGGATCGCTATTTCAGGTGTTCGCGCCACGTCATTAACCCGTTTCATCTAAACTTTCTATTACGATCTTCCTATTTCTTTCAAGCTAACTGAAATAATCAGCTGTGATAAACGACAGCAAGTGTTTGACACTCAATTTCGCATTAAAAATTTTTTCCTTTTATTATAGTGATAATTGTTTCTTTTAAATAATTTACGTATTTAACTGCCCCGTCAAATCTATTTATATTTTTCAGTTGTATAAGTTGCATAATTTGTATTGCACAACGTTGTATAATATATGACGTCAATCATTTGTTAATGCATTGTATCATCGTGATACATGGCGACAATCGTATTTCTTCGAAATAATTTACGTACTTGAATTTAAGTACTCATTTACTTATATCTTTAAGTAACGTATGTTATATAATTTATTATTTATATTATATTGCATGTCATTGTAATGTACCTACTCAAAAAAATCTGATAATAATCAAGTTTAGATAATAATTACTATAAAGCTTAGTGAAATAATAAAATTTCAATCATATATATTAATATTATTTCCTAAATATTATTTTACTTTTGTAATTATTACCAAACGATTAGTTACCATTATTATGTTTGGTAATATTTACTAAATATTGCACCAATATGCCAAACAAAATATATTTAGTGATTATTACCAGACTCTTTTTTTTTTTTTAATGATACGTGACACGGTTTAACTTTCTAGAACTGAAAGGGTGAAACAGCGCGATTTGTCCGAGCATTTTTGATCGTATAATCATCTTTGTTGGAATAAGGCGATTAATCTATCGATAGAGTCTTTGTTAACCACTGCCAAGAAGGAAACCTTAAATATAACAATGCACTAAACTTCGTCATTGTGCGATCACGCGAACGACTCTCAATGACGAAGTTTAGTGCATTGTTATACTTAAGGTTTCTTTCTTGGCAATGGATTAGATGATAGGCCTTCGCGAGCAACATGCAGGTCGCTCGAGTCCGAGCCCGAGCAGAAAGATTGATGGATGAGTAACGCTTAGGAGTGCAACGCTAAAAGCACCGGGTACGTTTTATGGCTCGTATGCAAACCACACATTCAACGCTAAACGTGCTTGATGTTTCACTTGTCTAATCGACGCGACGGTGCGCGTTCACGAAAGACGTGAGTTAGGATCGGGCTATTACATTTGGCGTTAAATAGACGCATATAAATTTTGATGGAATCTTCGAATTACATATATGTTCCGCGTATCGCGGCCAATTTTGCGTACAGGCGATGTTTCGATAGCCGCACTTGCAAAAACAGTTATAGTATATATCATATTAGTCACACTTTCGCAATAGGCACCTTTGTTTTTATTACTCGACTATCCAACATTTTACTTGTTAATGATGTTATTTAGCTATTCAAAATTTTATTTGTTAATATTAGATATTATTCAGCCATCCAAATATTTTATTTATTTATATTATTATTCACACACACGAGTCATCTAAAATATTATTTGTTAATATTACTCACATATGTTATACATTCACACACATATATTCAACAACTATCTTTTCTGTGCTTTGCGCTTAAATTTCTACTTTGCTGAATCAAATTAATATATCTGAACTCGTCGTGCATAATTAAATTCGTCGAATGCAAGAAGTCGAGAACGAGAACACTCTCTTCATGCGAAAAAGAATGCCATATATGAATGATCGATCGATTACCTGCAGGAACAGCATGAAGCAGACCCACTGGTAGTATTTGTACTCCTTTCGCTCACTTTCGGAATACGATTTGGAATTGTCGACGCCGGGAAAGGGTACTTCCAAACCTTCTCTTTTTCGGTACGCCGCGGTTATCGTGTAAGTGCTGTGTATCCAGCAGTAAGTGTTCAGAACATCTTCGGGCAGGTCCTTGCTATGTATACAATCGATAGGATTGCCGACGTACTGACGGGTTGTAACAATCAGGGAGAACGCTATCAGCAGGATCACAGTCAGGCTGTAATGCAAGCGGAAGACGGCGCTGTCGATATGGATGTGCGAGATTTTTATGAGACTCTTCAGACCGCGAAATATGTCCAGCATCTTGGTACTAGAACGATACTATAATAAGAGATCAGAGGCTACGCCGGGCCACGGCGATTCCCCAGAATCCACGTCCTTCCACGTCGCTTTATCTTCCTTTACCTACATTTTTCACTGTTCCCGATTTCGAGACCGTTTTTCAGCCGCGTCAAAGTTTGCCTTTTCTCGTCCACCTTTTCACTTTCGAGCACGACACGAGTTCATAACTTGAAGGAAAAATACCGAAAACGCGCGTGGATCTTATTAAAAAATGTTAACTGTACATTTTTTTATTTAGCCTATATTTCCCAACTTGCGTAAAACTTTTCGAAAAGAGATCTATTTCACTTTATCACTTACTTCATTTTCTTCAATTGTTGTCCTCGCGGTTTCTTTCTGATTTTTAAGAAAATATCTTTCTTTGATCGTCAAAAATATATGTATAATTATTCGCTTTTTTAAAAATATATGCGTTGTATATATTTTATATGCATCGCTTTTTAATAATCACTCTGGTATATCTTTGGTAGATATATATATGTATCTTTGGTCGATCTTTTTGGTCGATCGAAAACTGTGTGAAATACTTCTTACGGCTTATACTTATTACTTTAAATCTTATCCTTACCGCTATAAATACTGTCTTCTTAAGTAGCAATTATTGTTCATCTTTGGCATTTAATCTTGTGTGAAACATTAACTCTCATTAAATCTCACATTTCTCGCGTCTCAAAGAAACGTGGTATAATCCTCTCGCGGTGCGCTCTGTACGTCTCCTTTTTCTTCACATTTACTCCATGTTATTCGACGAATAAAGGTTTTCTTCGGAAAAGTTTGCCACTTGATGGACGATCCCTCGATCGCCGAATCGCGTTGCGATCGACGTTGACGGGACTTTGAATAATCCGCTGTTCCTACGGCAATAGTCCTCCCGCGCATTCTTCTCGTATTCTTATTCACGTTCGTATCGCAATTTCTAATCTTGGCTGTTTGAATACACAAATATTCGAGTGACACTGTCGGTTTCGTCGATCTCACGCATCTCCGCGAGTTTTCATTTCGAGGAACAAGCCAGCGCGCGCGTGAGATGCTCTTAAAATATCTTATCTCACGATTTCCCTTGGGTATTCTAAAAAGAAGAATTTTCATTCAAATTCTCACTTTACTTTTTATGGAAAAAACAATTTCACTGAGGTATCTAAAAATTTAGCTAGATATAGATAAAAAAATAATTTTGTTATTAGACTATCAAAATAATTATATACGACGTTTATTACACTGAGAAAAAAAATGCTGTTGATTCAATTAAAGTCTATATTACGAGCTGTCACTAACATGATTAATTCATGTATATTTTTATTGACATAAAGGCCTTGATTACTGAAATA